ACGATGCTCCGTAAAACGACCCTGGCCAATTTGCTGTTTTTGGCAATCCCCTGTTTGCTGTCCCCCCAAGGGGGGACAAAGTCACTAGAAAACGCATGTTTTAGGGAAATAAATGCTTTCCCCAAGGGTCAACCTCGTCCTCTCCCCCCCTAGGGCACAAAACCCGCCGGGCAAATGCCAAAAAACCGGGCACCCGACACCTCAAAAAATCAGAGCCCAAATTACAAAAAAATAGAAGAGGGTAATACATTGGAGCTTGAGACTTAAAAACCATGGGATACCACGCCCCCAAGGACGTCCGCACGGCACAAGCTCTGAAGGAAAAAACACCCACCCGGGGGCCCCCAGTCCCAACATTGACCTCCCTGACTTTGCAGCAGGCGAAAAACATCTAACCTTACGGAGCGATGTGTTAAAGCTGCTATGTCTTTTCCACAGGGTTCAGCGGGGGTTTCACGGGTTTAAGGCCCTCAACACTTAAAACAAATCCCCAAAACCACCCTTGGGAGGTTTCAGAGGGGCTGCTGCTGAACTCACCAATTTTCCAAACCTGTCCCGGGCGGGCGGTGTCCCAGAGGCCCATCAGCCCCTTTTCTTTGTGCCTCATTGTTGCCCTCCGCAAAAGGTGCGAATCGGGCCCTTTGCATGGGTAACACCCTTGGCGCCTAGTCCCCAAAGGGCTGCAGTAAGAAGGGGGTCAAGAGGCGCTGCAATGCTAAAAACCAACTCAGCTGGGTTTCGGCGTAAACAGGGCTGTGAACAGCTCCCACGCAGCACGATATATATCAAAAACTGTCCTATAAAAAAGCCTTTGGGTAAAAATTGGACTTTCCCAATGCTTTCAACTCGTCAGGGGGGATGCTGCTCCCAAGCAGTTATAAATTTCCCCCTTTCCCTTTACCCCTTCATGAATCGTGTTTGTTGACTTCAAAACTATTGTTTGGGGACCATGAAATTGACCGTGTTAGGCGTGCCAGGGGGGCCCTCTCCCCCCTTTTCTATTTTGTTTTGGGGCACAAGGGAAATCACGGAGGCCTCTCCCGCGAGTCAATATCTGGTTCCCGGGCGACGGACCCCCGGCTGGACAAAGAGTCTCTCCTGGAGGCATCAGTAAAATTAAAGACATGGGAGAAAAACCCGGGGCCCTTTTTTTAAACCCCCCCCAAATTGAAATAGTTTCTACAATCAAAGTTTATACAGAATATTTGTACCGTTTTAAAACCCGGGGGCCGGCCATTGATCCAGCCCAAAAGCACTTCTCGGGGCCCTCTTGGGCCAATGCCATCGATCTGGTCCTAGGAAAAAAAATCCAGACCTCCGGCGATGGAAACAGGATGAAAGACATTGACACACACGATCCTTCTCCTACCACCCGTGCCGTCAACCCAAAACTTACCCATTTTCTGAGATGCCCCCACCTTCAGCAGTCCAAAAATCAAGGAAAATGATCTTCCCGAAAGGCCTGCTAGAGAGTGTATTGAAACTTCCTTACGATGGACAGTGGTTGCAAGCCCCTTCCCGGGCGGCTTGGAGGGCGGGAGTCGCAGATCCCCCCAAAATTTCTTACCAGCTTTCCCCATCCCTTCCATTGCATCAAAAAGAGTTGATAAGACAAATTCTTCCCGACACCCTAGTGACTCGCAGGAATAGAAAACCCCCAGCTATGTCATGCCATCACCGAATGGGGACCTTGCTCTCCAGCACCAAACCCAGTGCAGCACTGGTCACAAACGTCAAACTGGGATAGCCCAATTGCTGAAAAGGGGCTTTCCAACATGCCGGGCTGCAAATCAGAAGGAGATGCCCGTCTCCAGGCTGTGAGTGCACCCCACCCGGGGGGTTTTTCCAAAAAGTTCCCATATCGGCAATGGAAAAGCGACCGCCCTAAGACCCTCCTATTGCAGTGGCTCTCGCCTTGCTGCCCCAATTCAACAGAAATAGTGTTTTTGCGGCGAAGTGCAAGCAGACCAAACGGACTACATTGGGCTTAACTGTTCCAAAAAACCCAAAGGGGTGGGGCAGACACAATGAGGGCAAAGACATCATTAAAAAAGAACCCTGCTCAGTGGTGCCCTGCCAGAGGGAGCCCACGATCACTTGGAAACAATACCCCCAAACCCGCAAACCGCCCCGAGGGGGTCACCATCTATCCTTGGAAAAATGGCAACTTTAGCATGGGACTATACCTGTGGTCCCCCTGGCGACACCCTTTTCCTCACGTGTGGGGGGCAGGGAGGAGCTGCTGACCCCAGGGGGGGGGGTACAAATCAGCAAGTCGGGACATTAGCCAAAAGATCAATTTGTCCCAGTGGGGTCGGAACCTTGGGATCATGGGGGAAAAAATTCCACACGTTTTTTAAAAAAATTTGGGTTCCCGACTCATACACCACCAGGGACCCAAGGGCAGCCACTTTCATGTTCCAGCCCTCACGTCGCCATCCAGAGGGGAAATGCTTTTCTGCATCTTGCTCAGCCACCCGGGGAGTGGAGGGAAAATTTATCATCTTTGATACATTGTCCATTTTATTCGTTTTTGTTTTTTTTGTAAAAGTATTTTGTTTATTAATAAATGTTCACATAGAATTAGAAACATATGGGGGGGTAGGGGAAGAAAAATTCAAACAGCTCCGGGGGGAACCCTTTAGTTTTTTCTAGGTACGTTTTATTGCTTCTCTGAGGAGAGGGTCCCCATTTCCCGCTATAGAGGTGGTACTTTATTTTTAAAAAAAATATATATATATATATAATATATATATAATATATATAATATTTGGTATTGTACTTAAAAAACAATTAAAATTGGCGTGGGCGATTTTTAGGTATCCCAACAAAGAGAAAAAAAATTTTTGTTTTTTAAATTTTTGGTCCCATCGGGTTCAAACTTTTTTGCTAGTAACTAAAAGGGAAAGGTTCTGTCCTTTAAAAAGTTCCGGGGCGACCATTACCCCTCCTTCTACCCTCCCCCCCAAGAATTTAATTTTTATTATTATTATTATTATTATTATTATTATTTATTATTTTTATTATTATTTATATTTAATAGCCCCATTCAGTTATAAGAAAAGTATTTTTTATAAAAACCTCTATTTAAATTTTCGTATTTAAGGAAAATCATTAAATGATTTGATCTCTTTTCCTCCCGGGAATAAGTCAATAAGCTTAAAATATTAAGTTACTCCAATTTTTTTTTTAAGTTATTTAAAAATTCGCAGGTATTCTCCCGGCCCCCGGGCCCTTTTTCCAGGGTGGCCGGCCTTGGTCCCCTCTAGGGGGGTCTGGACCTAAGTCTCCCATGGGAGGAGACCAATACCTCCCATCTTAGGGGCCCAAATGTCCCCAGGCCTGCTTCCCTAGGAGAAACTAGGCCTCTCTGGTCTGCCATCTCCGCCCCAAGGGGGCTAATGGGAATGACAGTCTTGTGAGCTGAAAGCTCACAAGACTGTTACAGCAAAAAATTCGTCCCTCAGTGTTTTATGTAAAATATCTATTTCAGATCATCAGCTTGAATCACATGAGTCTGTATCGCATGATAGTTTTTTGTTTGCCGAGGGATGCACTAGGCATAATAAAACAAAAGCCAAGGGTTTGTTTTGTTCTTTTTTCAGCAGTTGACGAAACCAGTTATTTTCACATGTAGAAAACTATGCCACAGAACAGGTGAGACTCGAACCCATGGCAGGAAAATCATAAAACTCGCAGGTTCCACCCATTATATTATTTGTTTACAATCGTGTTATTACGATTTCGTGAGTCTTGAAAACTCTGTGTCAACTTTTCAGCACAAGCTTAAGTTGTTTCAAGCTATAACTCTAGCTAGGAGAACTAGGCTAATATCATACATAAAAATATGCTTAATGAGCACAGTGTAACTCGCTAAGCTGAAAACAACGTAAGTACGATTAGGATTCTTCATTATATAATTAGGATTCTTCATTACATAATTTGGATTCTTCATTACATAGTTAGGATTCTTCATTACATAATTTCTTACAAATTCTTGCCTCAAATTCAGACTCCATAGTTGTATGAAAACCCGCTGATTATGTATACTTGTTTATCTCCGCTCTCATCTACGAGCAAGCAGATGAATCTGAACAAGTCAAAGATTCAGACACTACAATAACAACACACTAACCATGGAACAGGTGGGGGTTTGAACCCATGGGGAGTGAGTCGTACAACTTACTACATCTCATTCTCCTCCCTGACGCTGAGTCACCTTGACACGTGTGTGTGTGTGTGTGTGTGTGTGTGTGTGTGTGTGTGTGTGTGTGTGTGTGTGTGTGTGTGTGTGTGTATGTGTGTGTGTGTGTCTGTGTGGTGTGGCCTGAGCAGTTTCAGCCTAGAAGTGGAGCCTCTTTTCTGGGAGGAGTGCCACTCTCCGTAACAGGTGCTTACCTAAGAACCCAGCATCATTTTCAACGTAAATGGTAATGGTATTTTCACTTTCGTCTAAATCTGATGACACTTGTGCCCAATGACAAGGAAGCATAAAGGCTGTACATATATGGTCTAGAAAACGGTTTTCTTCTCTGCATAAGTTCATTCAGGTATAGGTACGCATAAATACAGTCACATAAATAATCATACATAACAGCATATGTGTAGATTACCCAGGATAACCCAAAGAAAGTCAGACAAAGTTATTTATTTCCACTTGGATCCTTGTCATTCTTACTATTTAAACCTTAAAAGCTAAAACAGCTGAAGTAAGCCAGTTTGAAAAGCATTAACAATAGAAGGAGATATACCAGGAATAAGGTAAACTGAGCTATTTACATTAACATTAAAGAGACCATTAGATCACAGTAAAAGTTCATTATTTTCAATCTATATAAAACAAATCTTGTGTTAAAATCGAACACAAAATTACTTGCAATACCATCAATAAAATTTATATATAATTGATATATAAAGCACATAAAACAAATTAAAAATATTTTGTCTTTAAGGACACAAACTGTGCTACCAATTATTTTAGCATTGTGTGAACTCTTCACCTGCTGGTCCATCTGAGAGTGACGGCCTTGCCCGTGGGCGTGGGTGTGCGGGTGACGGTGATGTGGGTGGTGGGTGGGGCAGGCAGCCAGCTGGTGGAGGCTTGAACGTGCACGTGGGTAGAGCCGCCCCTCCCCTCCAGCTGATATGTAAACAGAGAATTCACCTTACGTCAGTGTAGTGGCGAGCATGTTAGGAGTAGCAGTGGGGGAGGAGTCACATATAAATTATACTCCATAATGAACGTATAAATAATTTTAAAGCAAACTTTATACATACTAATGTATATGTATATATATATATATATATATATATATATATATATATATATATATATATATATATATACATATATATATATATATATATTTTTTTATTATCACACTGGCCGATTCCCACCAGGGCAGGGTGGCCCGAAAAAGAAAAACTTTCACCATCATTCACTCCGTCACTGTCTTGCCAGAAGGGTGCTTTACACTACAGTTTTTAAACTGCAACATTAACACCCCTCCTTCAGAGTGCAGACACTGTACTTCCCATCTCCAGGACTCAAGTCCGGCCTGCCGGTTTCCCTGAACCCCTTCATAAATGTTACTTTGCTCACACTCGAACAGCACGTCAAGTATTAAAAACCATTTGTCTCCATTCACTCCTATCAAACACGGTCACGCATGCCTGCTGGAAGTCCAAGCCCCCTCGCACACAAAACCTCCTTTACCCCCTCCCTCCAACCTTTCCTAGGCCGACCCCTACCCCGCCTTCCTTCCACTACAGACTGATACACTCTTGAAGTCATTCTGTTTCGCTCCATTCTCTCTACATGTCCGAACCACCTCAACAACCCTTCCTCAGCCCTCTGGACAACAGTTTTGGTAATCCCGCACCTCCTCCTAACTTCCAAACTACGAATTATATATATAAAATATATATATATATATATATATATATATATATATATATATATATATATATATACATACATACATACATACATATATATATATATATATATATATATATATATATATATATATACATACATACATTTATATATATATATTTATATATATATATATATGTATATATATATATATATATATATATATATATATATATATATATATATATATAAATGTATATATTCAATTGTTTCACTCAACTTTGATAATACCGAGAGCAAGTCGATAGCTGAGGGATAAATGTGTACGTCGTAAGTATCGTAATGCTCATTGAACCGGAGACTCTGAGAGGAGTCTGACGCATTCGAGTAACGTAACCTTTTCAGTAGAATACGAGTTTATTGTTACTGTTATTATTATTGTAATAAAATAATAATAATAATAATAATAATAATAACAATAATAATAATATTATTATTATTACTATTATTATTATTATTATTATTATTATTATTATTATTATTATTATTATTATTATTATTATTATTATTATTATTATTATTATTATTATTATGTAAAAGGCTAAACCCTCGTGAGTCATTCAACTCAGGTTTTGGGAGAGACCAGCTTTCATTTGATAATCTTAAGTCAACAGACTAGATACAAAGGAAGTCCTGCCCCCACTGGCATGCAAATTAGAATGATGGTCCATATCAATCAAGCTCCTGATCTCTGCGTGGGTTTTCCAGCCGGTGGCGCCCACATTAACAGCCAAATCCAGAAGAGATGTGAGGTAACAAAAGAATAAGAATCTAATATAAACCGTCAGTCGCCTTGATTGAGAATTCCTTTAAGGGATTCTTTATTTTTAACCACGGAGAGACACGGATGAATTTTACATCATGCAGGGATCAGTCTATTCATCGGCTGCGGGGAAGTGGTGATGGGAAAGGAAGTGGTGATGGGTAAGGAAGTGGTGATGGGTAAGGAAGTGGTGATGGGCAGAGTAGATAGTGACGGTTCCAAGGGAGGTTAATTGCGGTCTAAAACCTCCCTAAAATTCCAGCAGCCCCCTCAGAAAAAAATAATATTTGTAAGGCTGCTTCAAAACAAATTCCCGGACTCCCCTTTCAAAAAGGTTGTCATTTTATCCCCTCCTACTCAAAACTTATGGAGCCGCCCGTAAGGGGGGGATCAAGGAAGGGGTTATGAGTAGCAAGGATATGGCGAGTGAACCTGTACACACCCCTACACAAATCATGATAATTTATTGCGCTCTTGTGAGGTACCTACGCAGGATGCATAATTTTGTGTGAATACCCTACTGTGTCGACGTGTATTTACGAGTACCTCGGAGACATTCCCTCCTCTCCCCCCCAATATAAAATCAGCTAATTTATGGCATTTCTCATTATCTTATATATATTCTGTGTTACGTAATATTTCAAGCTCTTTTCACAGAGATTTTTTTTTTTATTTTGAAAAGGAGGTAAGGTTTTGACCTTTGGCACTGAAGCAACAAGGTAATGTATCTCAGAAAGTAAAACTTAATAAACATTTATTTGAATTTATGTAACGAAGAAATTGTTTTTTTAAATCCATCTACTTATATAATGTACTATTACTGCTACTTCTACTACAACAAAAACTGCTGCAACTACTACTACTACGAGTATTATTATTATTATTATTGTTATTATTATTATTATTATTATTATTATTATTATTATTATTACTATTATTATTATTATAAGGAAGTGTAAAACCCGCAAAGGTTATGTAGTGCCTGGGAAATCTGAAGTTATAGTGCATGATCCCAGGAAGAAGGAAACAGCTCATATTCCTTACATCAAGAGTCTTTAACCGGTATCAAAGCTCCCCTCCTGAAGAGACTCTACAAAGTTTCGACACTATGTATTTCTTCCTTACCTGCAACACATAGAGCCCTGGAGCCGCTGTCCTCTGTTTGTACTGATGGGTATCGTGACCTTCGTACTCTTTTAATAACATTTCTCTTTCCTGTGTTTCATCTTCCTTTTTTTTTCCTGTCTTACGTGAACCGCTGGCACCTCCTATGTCAACTCTCACTCTTCTGGAGCCATTTGTTTTCTTCGTCTTGCCTCTGCTATTTTTATGTTTTCTTCCCATGTTCGTTTTACTTATACTTCTAGATACAGGTTCTGAATAGCCTAACAGTGGAACTGTTTTGTTGCTCAATGGACTCGAAGTCTCGGAAGCAGCGTCGTGAAGTTCACTAAACCAGTTTCTCACGCTAGAGTGAAGGCTTCCGTCATTTTGCTCACTGGGGCTTTGAGTCCTGTTTGGATCCTCTGTGGCATTAAAAATTGATGAATCGAGTTTTACGGCAGTGTCGTAAGAGGTTGTAATGGAGGCTGAAGACATAAGAGTATGAGGACGCAGAGAGAGTCTCCAGAAGAGAGGAGAATCGCAGGGAGTGATGGTGATAGTGAGAGGACCTCGGACGCCGAAAGGAAACACCAACCTGAAGAAGAAGCCCAAGAGATGAATGAAATTTATCAATAACAATTCCGTGACATAGGGTTGTGAATTATTTATTGCAATGCAGTGATAATAATATTGTTTAGCGTTTCCTTGAATGTAACAACATTATTACCTGACAATGTTCTGATATTAAATATTATTGGCTAATGTTTTAGTATTTAGCTCCCTATATTATATAAATTAACGTCTACATGTTTAGTATTGTATATTATGAGCTCTTGTTCATGCATTTAATATTGTAAAGTATTAAACTATGTTCATATATACAATATCGAGGATGGAAATGTCATAGACAATATTCAAGAAATCAGAATAAAAAGTGCAGTGTCAATGTGTAAAATGAACTAGTCATGATTAAGATACACCAGAGTGTACCAGCCATGAGTAAGTTACACCAAAATGCACCAGTCATGATTATTAAGTTACACCAGAATGTACCAGCCATGATTAAGTTACACCAGACTGTATCAGTCATGATTAAGTTACATCAGAATGCTCATTATAATCCTAAGTTATAAAATGTTTAGTCATACTAGATAACTCCTAATCACCTTAGATAACACTAAGTTCCAAGTGAATATTTGTGCGTCACGAAAACCCAAGCCAAAATGATTATCTTTTACCTCTTCGCGTCTCCTTGCAGGAGATAAATAGACACCTGGTGGCCATTAGCAAGGACCTTCAAGTCGTAGGCTCTATCCTCCTCCAGCAACTTCTCCCTCAAGATGTAAGATAAAGTTTTCGGGTAAGGTGTTGATGATTCGGCAGTGAAGTTGTATGGATGGATGTAGAGCTCAGTGGTGGGCAGAGGGATGTTATTGTAGAAGTGGGCGGTGTTGACGTCCTCAGCTGAGATACACGACAGGAATACTGGGCAAATCAAGATGAGAACGAGAGGATCCACTCTTGTCGCCATGACATATCCACATTCAGTCTGAAATAGCGGAAGATGTTTCATGGAAGAATCACGTGATATAGAAAAAATATATAATAATGAGGAATATGAAACCTTGGCTAGTTAAACCCGACAGAGCAAAATGTTGTCATAATGCAAGCTAGTATGGCAGCTTGTCCTTGGCAACACTTAGAACACTTGTCTGGAACTCAGAGTTTGTCTTCAGATCCGTGTGAGCTGGGGCGAGGGAAGGAATTTTAGTAAGGTAGAGGAAATATTTGAGTTTGAAACTGAGGTCAGAGTTACATAAACAAATTTCTGAATTAGAAGTCATTAAAAATCCTGAGATGGAATTACCAGAAAAATCTAAAATACATGAAAAGCTATTATAGTAATAAAATTAATAATAATTAGAATAATAATAAATAATAATAATAATAATATAAATAATAATAATAATAATAATAATAATAATAATAATAATAATAATAATAATAATAATATATAATAATAATAATAATAATAATAATAATAATAATAATAATAATAATAATAATAATAATAATAATAATAATAATAATAATAATAATAATAATAATAATTTTGATAATAGCAATTAAAATGAAAATAAAACTGATGAATATAATTTGCTCACAAAAATGTGTACAATAGCGTTAAAAACACT